GTAAATATAATGTCAGCAGGATCATCACTCCAATTCCAAAAATATTTGTTATCAAAGTAGTTAATTTGCAACTTGGAATCAGTAAGGCATCAACAGAGAAATCTGAAATCTGAAATCTGAAGAGACACAATCCATTGGCATTGGTGAATTTGCGAAGTGATCAAAAACTCGAAATATGATAGCTTTCATTGATCGGCAGGACATTTTAACAATATGCAAATTTCACTTTGAAGCTTTTTTCATTCCCAGAAATATGATGTCCTTTGTTTGACTAACAATGCTTCACATAAAGAAACTTATGGGAATGCATAACAAAGAGACATATACGCGCGTATATGTGCGCATATGTGCGCGTATATAAGGTGCGCATATTGACGTACGCGTATATTCAAAATACGCTCGTATTATACGCGTATCCATAGTTCACATATATCTGAGCTGAACTGTACTATGATCGCAAGGCTGAGCTCAAGATCCAATGTGATGCTAGCCAGACAGGCCTTGGAGCAGCCCTCCTGCAAAGAGGTAGACCGATTGCATATATGAGCAAAGCGCTCACTGAAACCAAGCGACGATACACACAGATTGAAAAAGAAATGCTCGCAATCATCTTCTCATTCTTCTCAAATTCCATCAATACACCTATGGACGCCATGTGAAAATACAAAGTGACCACAACCCCCTAGAATCCATCTTGCAGAAGCCTCTCACCTGCGCACCAAGATGACCACAGGGTATGATGTTGAGGCTTCAAAAATACGACTAAAAAGTGTGGTACAAACGCGGCAAGAACCTACACTTAGCCGACACCCTTTCCAGAGCATACCTGCCGACCAGCGCCCTTCCTACTGGAGCTGAATATGAACACATCAACACAACAGCATTACTCCCTGTGTCCACTTCAAGACTTCAAGAGACCCAACAGGCCACTGAGAGTGACAAAGCATTGCGAATCCTCAAGAATGCCATTCTACGCAGATGGCCAGAACACCACGGTCAAGTGCCATCACAGATAACACCTTACTTCAGTATGAGAGACAAACTAACCATACAAGATGGAGTTATTTTCCATAGACAACGAATCGTCATTCCTGTCAGCTTACAACATGACATGAAGTGAACGCTGCATGTGTTACACCTCGGTGCAGAATCCTGTCTACCCTGAGCACGGGAAACCATCTTTTGGCCCGGTATGAACACTGAAGTAAAGGAACTAGTCGCGTCATGTGAAACCCGTCACAAGTACGAAACCAGCAACCAAAAGGAGTCTCTGATGCCACATGAAGTGCCCAGTCGACCATGGGAACAACTAGGAGTTGACCTGTTCAAGCTAAACTAGAAAGAATTCATGGTAACTGTGGATTACTACAGCAATTTTTGGGAGGTCAACTGCCTAACAAGTACAGTGGAACCCCGTTAATACTGACACCAAAGGGACATGATAAGGTGTCTGCATTATCCGGGTGTCTGTATTAAGCAGGCTAATTTAAGAGAAAATATATGAGCTTTTTAGTTGTCGGGACAAAGAAAACTGTCCATTAGAAGCAGGTGTCCGTAAGACGGGGTTTCACTATACTACCTCAGCAGCCATAATCCTGAAACTCAAAAACCATTTTGCACGGTATGGTTGCCCTGACCCCCTGATCAGTGACAATGGCCCGCAGTTCACCTCATCAGAGTTCACCAAGTTTGCTAAAGAATGGGACTTCAAACACAGAACCAACAGCCCTGGCAACAGTAACGCAAACGGGAAAGTGGAATCAGCAGTGAAAACAGCAAAGAACCTTATCCGGAAAGCCCTGAATTCCAGAACGGACCCATACATTGCGATACTCGACTATCGCAACACACCGACCCAAGGAATGGAGTCAAGCCTGGTGCAATGCTTAATGAACAGGAGAACACAAACACGAAAGCCCTTCTTCAGCCCAGGACACCACAAACAGACTGAGAAATGAAAGACCTGACAAGGTGACAAGCACAGCAGTCCAAATACTACAACCAACACTCGTGACTTGCCCACCCTTTTCAGAAGGCGATGTCGTATAAATGAAACCCTTTCAACTAGGAACTTAAGTGTGGAAGAAAGGCATGGTCACATCACGGCTAGATGAGAGATCCTATGTAGTGGAAACGCCTGACAGAGAGACATACAGAAGGAGCTGTTACCACCTGGGGAAAACCAAAGAGAGTCCTGACGCCTCGACGATACTGGACGTAACACCTGTGAGATATACTGGGGAAGGCTCATCACCAACCAAGATCACATGAGAAGTATCCCATACAGAAACACCAAACACCTCTGACACCATCAGCGAACTTCCTATAGCTGCATCCAAGAGTTCAGCACGGCCACCGCACACCAGAACGCCACCAGCCTATCTATCGGATTACATGATAACGTAAACAGTATCCTGAACAGTTTGCAAATAGGTCTGAGATGATATAAAGACTATATTCAAAGAACATTTATCAGCGTTTTGTTTTTCTATTAGTATTTTATAGTCAGAGATCAATATCGATGGAATGATTATTTTATGATTGGACGTCTAACCGTGAGTCTCTGGTTTTAAATGAACTGTAACTTAAGAGACACTCTCAAAACAGGAAGGATGTCACAACATGCCAATGTGTCAATCTGTATTCAATCAGCGCTAGCCTAGGCTTGTATCGTGTTACACTTGAAGGTTCATCTGAATAAAGCACTCTAGAGTTGTGGCTACTGTTATAGTCATCTCGGTTCTGTCCTCGTGTACCGGTTCATAAGAAGCGATACAAAAGACCTAACAATGTTCAACAGTTAAACAAAGGTTCGTAAAGAAAGGAGTGCAATGGTTATTCCCTCTGTGTACCGGTACACCAGGACAGAACCCTCATCTTGCACTATATATATTGAAACACCACTTTTTATGATGGATTCAGTATATTGACATTGATTGACATGACCACTAACCACTCAATCTGAGGTTGAATGTCGATTTTAGCATTTTAATAACATGGGGATGAATTCAGTCTAGCTAAATGAAGGCGTTGAACGCACTTTTAATCACTGTTGGTCTTTTAAGCTTGCTGATAAAAACCTCTTTAAGTCTTTATGCATATTTAGGAACTAAAGCCGATTTTACCAACCTGGTCACGTAGGCAAAGGTTTCGTATCCCTTTCTAAATGGTTGCATCAGGAGACACAGTTTTCTGTGGCAGAGGACGAATGAGCCTATGTCAAATTTGACGACGCCATTTTCTTGTTCCATAACTTGGATCATTGAATAAGATTAGCATAATTTGTTTTCATCTTCGACAGTACTGCACATCCATACATACAAGTCTACACTCGTCGGCTAAACTCGTCTGCATTGGTGCCCAACTTTGTAACCACGCCGAAAAACGCGGGCCGACAACAATGTACGTGTCACCCCGGTCGTGAAATAGTCATCACATTTGCTAGGGATTTTTCTTATTTTTCTCACTTTGTATACTTTCGATTTCGGATGTAATTATCAACAAACGAGATCGTAAGGGACAAAAAGTTCAAAATTCGTATTTTTTCTTTTTAAAAAACAAATTGCAATAAAGTGTGAATGTTAACCCATCCTCTGTAAACCATTTGTAGTCGATTTTCTCCAGCTCGGGTCGTTCGAAAGGTGGATAACGATATTCTCCGGATAAATCACTATCCAGCGGGTAGCTTGGTTTGTTTTGTTAACACTTGTCCACCGGATAGCGATTTATCCGTTCATCCACCTTTCGAACAACTGGGGCCTGAACCTGAACGGTATTTGGCCATGCATTAGATGAAAATCGTCCAAGTGACATAAAAGAAAGGCTACATTTCAAATCCTCACTTTGATTATGAACACCTTAAAGTGAAAGAAGGACTCGCGTTTGGATCACACGCGCGACTGAACGAGTCAAACGGTCAATTACTGAAATCATACGTTCGAGGTACGGCATACTGATGACCACTGACGCGTCAGCTGAGTTCAGTGTTTATCCTAAGACCCTGTTTACAATGAGGTAGGGTAACCTTAGTGCTAGGGTTACTCTTGCAAGAAGATTACCCTAGCATTCACACATTTCTTTTTTTTTTCTTTTTTTTTTTTTTTTTTT